TCAAGTACACCTCCGGCTAAGGTTTCCAGTCTCACATCAGTGACCATTTGGACCTTTCAGAAGCCTGTGTTGACCCATCTCATCTGATCGGTGATGTTTGGGGAAGAGAAAAAAAGAGAAATTACGTACATTTCAAGCCATACCTTGGGGGAGGCCACTGATGGCAATTATCCTGTATTGGAAAGGAAATACGAACAGGGATTTTGCCCTGTTTTTATGTAGACAGCCTCTTACTTGTGGTCAACTCAGCAACACTACATTTTGATGTTATCACATTCTTTTCTGGAACAAAACCCAACAGCCGTTTTTAATGAAAACCTTTCTCCAAAGAATGCTCCAACCTTCCCCCCACCCCCACCCAGCTGAATTTCAAATAATGTTTAATTCGGCTTGGCTTTCAGAGTCTGTAAAACATAAGCAATCAGCTGCGCCTTAGATGGAGAAGAAATGTTTTTACGGTTCCACAAATGTTTCTAATTGGCAAGAGCGAGTTGTTAATGGGAGATAAATTGCCTGCGGTGGGTGTGGGTGGGTGTGTCACGTGCGTGTGTGCTCACGCAGGCCCACAGGCAGGCACCCATGTGGCGGTAATGACGTGCGCGCCTACCTGGGCTTCACAAGGTGCCGCGCTGTGCAACCGCCCGGAGCTGGCCCTGGAAAAGGGGGCGTGGCTGAGCCCTGGTGGCCGAGCGCAGGACGGGACCAGGTAGATGGCTCCTTACTTACCAGGACTCAGATCCCGGGCAGCAGGCCCACCACTCTCCCATCGGGAACAGTGAGCAAGGATCTTGTAAAATACACAGACCGAAGGAAAATGACCCTTATTGACTGAAACCAGCTGTGTCCGGCTTCTCCTTGTCTCTCCCGATTTGCTCTCTCAAATAAATGGATGTGGTGGAGGATGATAATACAGAGTAAACAGAATCATTTTTTTTTCTTTCTTTCTTGCAGTCACACCTCAGTAAGAGCCCTGGTTTTTACAGGGGGAAAATATATGTTTATTTGCTCCTCAATTTTCCTCTCTCTCCCTTGCCTTTTCTTGGCATCGGGTGGAATGTTATTTAAAGCAAGACACAGTTCGGCTTCAAAAAGAAAAATCATTCTGGGAAATACAGCTTGGACTCATTTAATGGTGATTTATCATCCCGAAAAGAGTGGGGTACAAATATCTATATTTGGTATATTTTAATGGTTTACAGTGTAGTGATTCGTGTTGGTACCAGGACGCAGGGAAGCAGTAGGCTCCAAAACTTCGAGAAGTGCCCCAATAATTATTTCTCGGCACTGCTTTCCTTCAAAAATGACACAGGCTGTGCTTGGAGGGTGGTCTCAACCCCAAGGCCTGTGGGTCTCTAAGGGGTGCTCTCACGTCTTCATTTCCTTGCTGAATTGTGTGTGTTTTTCTCTCCAGAGCTTTGAAAAAGTTTTGTTGTTTGCATCTCCTGTTTCCTTCAGGTAGGGGGCAAACAATGATGTGCCTAAGACGGTGCCTGGCACACAGTAGAAGCTCCATAAATATTTGTTGAGGAAAGACTAGTTAAATGGAATATTGTAAGCCTCACCAGTGGTGTTGTCTTGGCCTGAAACATGCAAGAATAGACTTGAGGCCATCGAGTAATTTCCCTTAACAGGACAAGCTAATTATTTGAGAGATGAAGATCTGGCCGATAGTATTTATTTGTCAGGCTCCATTTGCTCCTGATGAAAGGTGGAAAAGCTGTGTGTAGCACTGAAGGGATAACATAGTGAACCACTGCTGAACAGCTGTTCAGTTTTCCATCCTACTTTTTCAAGGAAAATGTATCCAGAGAGGGTTAATGCACCCTCCTTTTGTGAAAATTTTGCGAGGAGAAGCCAGGAGCTGAGAACGGGAAAGAGCATTTCAGGCAAAAAGACTATCAAATGCAAAGGCCTTTGTGGCCTGTGTCGGAAGCGCAAGGGCTGACGGGAAGGCATGGCCACACTCCTCGGTGTCTGTGCATACCCCGTATCATCCTCTGAACATTAGAAAGACAAAAGGGTCATAACCTTTAGCGCTAGGAAGTGGGGCAGAAAAGAAGGACACATGTACTTTTTCAGATCTGTGTGTCTGGGGCACAGGGCAGGGAGGAGACAAGTATCCCTTTTTCACAAAGGTAGCAAGGGAGATGATCGTGCTAATTCCATGATCCTCTGCTGCACTGGAGCTTCCTAGAAATTCTTACCATTCGCCCTTCCATCTGCCAAGCTTCAGGAAGAGTATATCCCAGATCTGCAGTTGTGTGCTGAGACCATGCAGCAATGGCACCTTGCCTTGTCGTTTGATTGTTGGCCTGTCTCCTCTTTCTGCCTTTCTTTTGTTGATAAGGAGGTGGCATAACACAGTTTATAACGAGGTCTTTGGCAAGTGTGCATGGTATGCCTTCCGGCACCTTCTTTCTCGGTTTAGAAAACAGGCTCTGGGGTAAGCGCACCTCTACACCTCTGCGGCGGTGGCTTGAGCTTGGGCAGGTGGCTTGGCCTCTCTTTTAGCCTTGCAGGACTGTTCTGAGGATGAGGTGAGTTAATGCTTGTGAAACATAGAATGGGGAGTGCCATGAAATGAGTGCTCAATTAATGCCTGCCATTGTTATCAGCCATTTGTCATGATAGAGAAAGGTGTCGAAGATACACTGTTAAAGAGAACAAAGGCAAGTTACTTGGGACTGGAGCTTAGAGGAGAAAGGGTAGGCAGGCGTCTTTTAGTTTTTCACCTCATATTCTTATAGTAGTTGATTTTTTTTTTTTTACTACATAGCTGTATGTTGTTGTAATAATGAAACTGCAAAGAATAGTTGAGAAGGTCTATCAAGACTGCCCAACATGTCAGTTTCTAAACGTACAAAAGAAAACAAAACACTGTGATTTCACTATAATCTTCTTCATAATCTTCTTCACCCTTAAGTTCGGAGATGTCATTTAGAAACATTTCTTGGGATAAAGAAACATGTATCTGAAGTCCAGGAATTCATTTTAGTTTTTACTTCGTATGCTAATGTTACACTGTGATGACATTATTCTACTTATTCCTCTGTCTCCCCATATGCATATCGAGAGTTGTCTGGAATGCCATTCACCCACCAAATGCAAAGAACGCATTTGGGTCATCGGTTGCGGACTTCATTGTACTTGCAGGCATTGCTTAAATGTTTTATAATGAGCATTGTTATAAAAATAATGAAATCATTTCTAAAAATTAGAGATGAGGAGTATTAGTTCGCTTTTCCGTTTAGTAATAATAAACACAATACCCTGCGTCTAATCTTTCCCAGGGATCCAGGAAGTTTAACTTCTGCGGGATTAATATGATGGAGGTCAGTAGCTGGTACTCAGGAAAGAGGAAGCAGGTAGGCTTAGTGGTTACTGAGACTGGATGCAGGAAATGTTTTCAGTGATTATCTGATAATAAGATCTAGTCCGTCACATACTCCCCTCCCTTTTATTTTTCTTTTACAAGTGGGGGGCTCTTTGCGTTTGTTTACCTAAAGATTTTGATGAATTCAGTTGGCATTTATCAACAACGGACTCTAACCAGTTGAGAAATGCTAATATTAAACAGGGCTGGAACATGGTTGCTTTGACCCTCATTCAAATCTAACTCTTCCTTTTCACAGTGACTGCGCACCACCATCATTAATCAGATAAAATCACAAATCAGGGGAGAACTTGAGTCCTGTAGCAAATACTTCGTGAAGCCAGTGTGAGCTTGTCAACCAGACTATCATCCCTGCAGAAGATACATTTACAAGGAATAACTATATTATACAGTGCTTAGCACATTGTGCCCCTCAGGATATGATGATAATTGCCTGTGTACAAGAAAAGGCAATTTTGAAGAAACTGTGACTAAGCTGATTACCAACTAACCGATTCTTTAAATCAGGGCCAGCAAACCATGGCCCGTGGGCCAAATCTGGCCCAGTGCCTCATTTTGCACAGCACATGAGCTAAAAAATGGTTTTTACATTTTGAAATGATGAAAAGTCAAAAGTTGAAGAGCATGTGAAAATTACACGGAATTCAACTTCCTCGCCCTAAATAAGTTGTATTAGAACACAGCATGCTCACTCCTCTATACACCATCTGTTGCTGCTTTGGGGGCAAAATTGAGTAGCTGCAACCGAGACTGTAAGGCATGTGGTGGTGAAAATATTTACTGTCCGATTCTTTATAGAAGCATTTTGCTGATCCCTGCTTTTAGATTCAGGTAGACGATATTTGTGTACATGACTGTTTGCTTGTGAATGGACAATGCTTTGGGGTTAGAAATACGACTGTTGATGTGGCCACCAAAAGAAGCTATAGAATGCAATACTCCAAATGTTTCCACTTTCCTCCCGTCTTTCCCAAAGACCGGAAGAAAGTTATTGTGTGAGAAAAATTAGGTGATCGGGAGGGACTATGAGAAATATCATGGTAACAAATGGAGAAAACCTGCATACTGCCTTCAAAAGTTATAGATCATGAATTTCATTTGGAGCCCTAAAAGGGCTCCATACCATTCCCATATTCTGAAATTTGAAATCGTTTCCTCTTTGTATTTGAGAAATATTTTGAGAGGAAGAAATCTCTTATTCTTGTGACCCTTACAAAACACAGCGCCCTGTCAGATGAGCCCTTGGTTCGGTGGCATTGTTGTATTGATTGGTTTTATTTGGTTTACTCTTCCATTCAGCTGCCGATAGGATACGATGAATAATCGATAGCGGGAAATCAGTAGGAAATGCCTCTGGGTAGACTGTCTAACTCTTGACAGGGTGTCCTCCTCATTTGCTGTGACAGTTGAATTAACGTGTACAGCTGACATATACAATATACATGAAAATTTGAAATTCCCATAAGCCATACTGCCAACCAATAAAAAATTGTTAACAGTAGTACCATGATGCATCATAGAATTGAAAATATGAGTCATCGTTTCAAAATTCCTATTCTGTCCATGACTGACCTCAGTTGTCCCCTCTTGTTTTGTTCTGTTTCAGAGGTTGAAGGCCGCGTTGACTCACCACCCCGCTGCCATGTCAAATGGGAATATGAACACCATGGGACACATGATGGAAATGATGGGCTCCCGGCAGGACCAGACGCCACACCATCACATGCACTCGCACCCACATCAGCACCAGACGCTGCCAGCCCATCACCCCTACCCGCACCAGCACCAGCACCCAGCCCACCATCCTCACCCTCAACCCCATCACCAGCAGAACCACCCACATCATCACTCCCACCTTCACGCACACCCTGCACATCACCAGACCTCGCCACACCCACCCCTGCACTCCGGCAACCAAGCACAGGTAGACCCTTTTCATGATCTCTTTCCCCCTTGTTGTTATCAGTGCAACTCTAACGCGGGGGCCCATTGGCAGCAACCTTGTGTGACGAGGTTGGGTGCTCTTTGTGACACTCTGGGGAGCTCTGTTCGTTTCCTGGGAGGTAATGATAACCTGCAAGACCTTCCCAGACCATAGTTTCTAGAAATAATATGGTAAATATCAGGCCTGGTCCCCGGGGGCAAATGTGAACCTCATGTCACGAAGTTAACTCTAAAAAATGGGACGATTAGGAAGAATTTCAGCATGTAAAGAAAGATTTGAATAGAGAATGAGAAAAATAAGTTAATTCCGGCCATGGTTTTGGCTGCAGTGCTTTAGAACATAGGCACTCAATTTTGTCACGTGTCAAATGGAAGTTAAATACCACGGACAGTCTTCCGAATAGCACCAAGTGTTAAAAATCTAAAGAGTAACAATTCCAGACAAAGAAGCTCGGTAATGGATGTTAGGGCATAAGGTGCTGTGTAAATGATGAAGAGAGGTGACTCATCCCACCTAATGTGAAATGCGTTGGAGGGAGTAGTCAGAGAGCCAAGCTCAGTAGATGATTGGTTCTAGAGAAAGGCCAAATCCCAGGGGTGGAGAGTCACCAGAAGTGGCTCGAAAGAAAGCCAGCTTTTAGACTCAACTGAAAGAGGGTTGGGGGACCAGGCAGACATTATGTCACCCAGCCCAAGAAGAGAGGCGGGTCCGTGTACCCGGGTAAGTTTTGGTAAGTGGACAAAGGGCATGTCTAGGAGAATGGCTAGCCTTAGACACTTTGGATCTTCAAGCAGGATGACCTTTGTCAGTCCCCTCCACCCATTCCACACTGCCGGGTTCTAACCAGCTGGGTCAGAGTGGTGTTGGGAACTTGGGTTCGCCAAATATAACACTTATTCACCGTCTCTTCCATCGTCTGCCTCTGGACCTCACACTAGGCAGTTTTTGAGCTCTTGAACCCCCTCCTCTTACACACACTAAACTTGGACAGCCATCTGCAAAATGGGTCATTCACAAGCAACTCTCTGATCTATTCAATAGATGAGCTTATTCATTAGGTAAGCTTACATTTGCAAACGTAGTTAGAGGAATTCTATATAGCAAGTAAGAGTGCTGGCTTTGGAGTGAGAAATCTGTCATTCATTCCCCATCTTATATGCTGGGCGACTCTGGTCAGTCAGCCAAACTCCCTAAGCCTCCGTTGTCCCATCTGCAAAATGGGGTAATAATAGACGAAACTCGTAGACCCCTAGGAGTATTAAGAGAATGTCTGTAAAGCCCTCGGCACAGTTTTCAATACATACTAGCCATGATTAACTCCAAACGGAAGTAATATGATAGACGTTTACAAGTGGTTTAGCAATAAAATGCTGTCCAAACCACCTTTTTAGTCAAATGCAATAGTACGCCATGGAGACATTGGAAGGGAGAAGGAAAACTACAGGTTCAAAGATAGGCAAATAAATTCACATAAATGTGTACTTATATTTTATAGCATTAAATTTTGGTTGCCTTTGTCGGCGAGTTACTTCACAGACAAGTTTAACAGTTAATATTTAACAGACAATATTTAACAAGTTGAATATAAAAGCCATTCATTAGCTAATTACCAATTAGCCAATTGCCCTCCCTTTCAAGTCAGTAAGTGGCCAATTGTATATGCAATTAGTTAATTGCTATTATAATTAGCTGCACAAACAGTTGCTTTTTAATCCCATACTAAAGAGAAAGGGTACAGGTTGGTGGTGTTAAAATTTGAACAAGATCATTTAGACATTACTCAAAATGCCACTCTTAAATTGTGTTAACTTGGCTGATTTACTGAGATCTTGTCATATAGCTCAATTGTATGATTATTAGAGCATTAGGAACAGAAGTATAGTAAGGTCCTTCTGACTCTGAGATTCTAATATGACTTGGGATAAATTTGTCTTTATGAAATAACAATACATCATTTTTTATCAAAAGTTTCAGAGCATCTACGCCAACAGAATTCTATTTAAAAAGAAAAATAAGCAACAATAATTAGATGGGACGTAAATTCTGGGCTCAGGGTTGCATTTGCAATTTCTCTTGGCTCCTTAGGATTCTCTTGCATATAAAGATGTGATTTCAGAGTCCTGGTGTCACGCCTCAGTCACCAGGAATTTCTCTTGTCCAAACTACACTTTAAACCTTGAACTTGGACTGAGCCTAAAACCACCACATGGCTCACCCTTTTGGGTAAAGGCACAGGAAGAGTGTCAGAGATAAAGGTTGGTTGAAGTTGGGGTAGGAGAATACAAGACCAGATGAGAGGTCTCGACAGTGGAGATTCAAACCCAGTTTGGCCTACTTGAGAATCTTGTCCAGGGCTGACAATTAGACATCGGGAATTCATTAAAAAAAAGAAATGGTGCAGGTCAAAATAGCCAAGTTTAGTGAGTTCCTTCCTAATGCTTTGCTTTGAGGTAGTTAGCTTAGCTTAGCAGTCAGCATCTGAAATGACAAGGCTAAACCTTTGCCAATAACGAGGATTACATCTTCACCGACCACTCTGGTGAGTAAGACCCTAGACAGTTAATTTTTGTTGTTATTTCTCTGTGATTGGGAGGAAAGGGATCGCCGATAAGCACTTTTAGAAAATGTCTATGGGTTAGATAAAATTACTGAGATGCAGTCCAACTTCAGCCGTGAGCCCGATTCTTTTACAGTGCGTCATATAAGATTTGATAGAGGTTTAAGGCGAAAATATATCACTTTCAGTCAGCTGATGTCAACCGGTAGCCATTATTAGCGCAATTACAGTCATTCAGATTGGTTCCAATCGCAGAATTGGAATGTGGTAGAAAACATTGCTGCGCTTCCTTTTGAGAACTTTTTTTGCATGTTGTTTCCGTAGGTTAAATGTCTCTTGTAAAACAACTTTATAGATATTACAGCCGTGAGCCTGAGTGACTGAGAATGAGAAGGGCGGTGGGGAGCGGCGGGGGGAGGAACACCCTTTATGGAGAACGAAGAAAGGGGGGAAGGAGTGGATTGCATTAGGGAAAAGCATTAGGTGTCCAGACACATAAAGACTCCGTGGTGGAAATTTCACTCAGTGCTGTGTGTCTACCTCATGAAGGAAAATGAAGCTGTATGGGCAGTAGGTCTCCAAAACTTTAGATACTGCTGAGCCCCATGCAGATCTTAGGAGGAATCTATAAGTATAGTCAAAGTTTTTAATGAAGTGCTTTGCTACTTCCGGGGTTTTCTTACAATGTGAATCTATGGTGACTCTTAGCCTTCTGTCCCTCTTGCACAGACGGCTGGGGCTCAGCACTGCTCTGGGCATCCACTGCATAAGCCCTGCTTCCAGTCACCTGGAAAAGCCTGTCTGAGGCAGAGCTCCAAGGAACAGGTGGACCCATCTGGAGTTTGCCAGTCCAGCGAGGCCTTGGCATTGAGAGCTCTGAAATAGTGAAAATAGGATTTCATCTGCTTTCTGGGACTCACAGGGTTCTTTTGATAGGGAGTCGCAGCGGTGGTGACGTCCCAGCAGTGAGTTCTAGGAACACGGTTTTAACACCAGGAGAAAGAAGGGAGCTCACAACTTGCCCGGAAGGAGTTTTCTGCAGATGATAGAAGACTCATCAATATGGTGACAATAACCATGACCTCCCTGTTGTCACCTGTAGCCCTGCGTTGGCATTTTACTCTTTTAAAACACACCTTAAATAAGACATGTTTAACATCTGAAGGAGAGGGAAAAAAAAGTGTTTCCCCTGACATGATTCAGCCAAATGCCTGTCAGGGAAAAATCTATTTAACTCTCTCTCCCAAGTCGTTTCTACGTCTTGCCAAAATATCACAGCAGATAGTTCCGCGGTGCTTTTTCTTTTCACGAGCGTGATTTCACTGTTTACTTCGTTCTTAGAAAACAAGTTCAATATGCTCGCTAAAGCAGTCGACTCTGTGCTTTGCATTTCAACACCAGCTTGGGTTTCTTCTCTCACCCAGTGTGTTCCTTCTCTTTCCCCATCGCCCCTCCCTCTCATGCCCAACAGGTTTCACCAGCGACACAACAGATGCAGCCGACCCAGACAATACAGCCGCCCCAGCCCACAGGGGGGCGCCGGCGAAGGGTGGTGGATGAGGATCCCGACGAGAGGCGGAGGAAATTTCTGGAACGGAACCGGGCCGCTGCCACCCGCTGCAGACAGAAGAGGAAGGTCTGGGTGATGTCACTGGAAAAGAAAGCAGAAGAACTCACCCAGACAAACATGCAGCTTCAGGTGCAGGCCACTGTCTCTTTCCTCAGGACTCAAAGGCCCTGTGTACAGTTGGCATTTCCTGCCCCAGCAGGCGCTTGTTGACCTAAGCAGTAATACCGCACATTAGCTCACAGAGCGACTGCAGCCTTCCTCCTCAAGCTTTATTAATTCTGGGACACTGGACAAAACAAAGTAACCGTTTAGTTGGGTTTTCTTGAATGATGGTTTTTAAAAATTTTTTTTTAATTTTTTTTTAACATTTATTTATTTTTGGGACAGAGAGAGACAGAGCATGAATGGGGGAGGGGCAGAGAGAGAGGGAGACACAGAATCTGAAGCAGGCTCCAAGCTCCGAGCCATCAGCCCAGAGCCCGACGCGGGGCTCGAACTCACGAACCGGGAAATCGTGACCTGAGCTGAAGTCGGACGCTTAACCGACTGAGCCACCCAGGCGCCCCTAAAATTTTTTTAAAAAAGTTTATTTATTTCTTTTTTAGAGACATAGAGCACAAGCAGGGGA